AAATCATTTTTCTCAATTTCTTTTTTTTAAGAAATTTTTAAATACCAGTTTTCAAATATCATTTTGAGAAAGAAAATGACATCTTTTGAAAATGTCCCAAAAATGAAAGTTGCTTAGAATTTAATTCTCTACAACTTTGCTTTTATGACCAAAGCCCAATTCTTGATAGATTTTGAATTATAAAAATTAAAGTCAATTTTAACTTAAAACCCTAATTTTTGGAGAATTATTTTTAAAGCAAAATTTGGCAATAATTTGAATACAAACTTTGCTCCAAAAATTATGCTAAATAATTCTAGATGATTTACAATCATAGCCAAACATGTTTTACTAACCTAGCAAGCATAATCATGGCAAAACAACTCTAAACCAGTGTATGCAACATTCATGTTTCACGAGCATGTTTTGTATGTTTCGAAGCAGGGTTTCAGTTATTATTTACATGATTAGGCATGTATGATTAGGATGTTTGATGATGCATGATATGCATGATTTGTAGTGCCTAAATGTTGGCATAACACCGGGGTGTTACACGAAACCGGCGACGTGCAGCACCACAGTCGGATTGAGGTGCTGTAGCTCCAGCCCCACTCATTGAGGAGCCTGCGCAAGAACCAGTGTGCGGGATATCCTAGCCCGCGCTCATGGAAGGCGAGAGAAGAAGACAACCTCATTGGCCCAAGGTCGTGGAACAGCCTCCCCTGCAAGAGCCCTCCAGTGCGCCACCTCCTTCGGTAGAAGCAGCCCCTTCTCGGTGAAGGCGGCCAACACCGCCTCATCCACATTGGATGGTCTCTAGCCTAACATCACGCTTTGGACTCACGAACGGATCTGTGAGTTCTCCTCTCGCTCGCTTTACCCTCTTTTCTCCTAGGAACCACCGCGGCACACGAACGCGCTGGGCGAGAAGAAAGGAGGAGAGGCAGCAGTTGGAGAATAGGCGAAGGATTGGGACAAAAACCCTCTCCCTTCCCCTATTTAAGGAAGAGAGGCAGCAGTTGGAGAAAGGCAAAGAATTGGGGTGAAAAACCCTCTCCCTTCCCCTATTCAATGCGAATAGGCATGCGGTGGGACACGCCCTACCCAATGAAACGATGCCTGGTTAGACGAGACATGGCCTGGGCATGGCCCACCACTACCGCACGCTAGGCACAGGAAACAAGGCGCAACCACACACAAACGGCCCTTTGCCTTCCCAGGTAGGGCTTGGAAGGGCCTACTGATAGGATCTCAGTTGAAGAGAGACCAATGGGCTATCTGAGTCGATCGGACAGCTCAGGCGACTGCCAAGAGACAAGTAAGGGGCAGTGGGATGCCCCATGCAGGCTACACCGACTCTGCCACGAATGATGGACACGGATCCCATTCGGACATATCCGATAAGAGCTCTTCAAACACGTCACTCGAGTCATCAAGGTAACTTTACCAAATGTTCTCACTTTATTTTCTGATGCATGATCATTCATTCATCCGTTATCATACATGCATTCACACATTCATTCATACAATCATTCATTCATCCCATACATCTAAAGCATCGCATATGCAATTAATGCATCACAACGCTTTGTGTTGCGTCACGAAGCGGTAGTTGCCTCATTCAACATGAGCAACGACCAACTGGGGTTCGAAGGTCGGCCCACGAAGGGCTCAAGGCTGCCTCATGTCAAACAGAGCTAGAGGAGAAAACGCAGATGAGCCCCAGTGGCCCTCGCCCGGTATGCTCAAAAGTAGACAGGGTCATCTCAACCTTCTCGTTTGATCCTAACCTCGAGCCATGCCCATAGAATCTCCATCGAGGGGAGGCTAGTGGGCCACCTGAGTCAGTCTCTGGAATGACCCGAGCATCTGCCGGGAGGCGGGTTAAGGAGCAGTGGAATGCCACATGAGGGCTATGCTGACCCCATCACGAACGATGGACCTGGATTCCGCTCGAACGCGCCTGTTAGCGAGCTCACCGAGCGCGTCACTTGAGCCATCGAGGCAAGCGACATTAGCTCAGCTCCTCCAGTTGTGGAAACCACGGACGAGGTAACACACAAAACTAGACCAACCCCTACTGAACCCAACGGGGCTCAGGGGCTCAGGTTGCCCGACGTCGACTCGAGAAATCAATCGATCGCGCAGATCACGGGCGGGACAAACACGGGCGAACACCCCGAACGGTAGAAACACAGGAGTCTGTGGCCCTAGGAAAGAGTACCAAGATACTTAGCCTCCAACCGACTCTCCAGTCGGACGCAGCTTGGGCTACATTCACCGGAAGTGCGCTCGCAGACCACCGGTAGCAAATCGAAACCCCTGACGATTTATTCTCGCCTAAATCGCCGGGGCTACACCCACCGGGTGCGCTCGCGCAGCGCACCCACTATCGTCAAAAAAAAAATCCCCACCGATTCTACGAATCGCCTGGGGAACTCGGGGCTCTCTGCCGGGTTCATAAACCCGGGGTCCCTAATGGACCTGCTTCCCAGCAAAAGCTCGGCCCAGCAGACAACGTTGTGAACGACGCACAACTCCTGGGCCGGCCCAGATACCTAACGACAGGCCGAAAGAGCGATCCAGTCTCCGATCGGAAGGCCTAGCGAAGGAAGAATGACGCTCGCTTCCGACTTCGACCCGCTTCTTCGACCGGAAGGCCTGGCCAAGGAGGGGACGACGCTCGCTTCCGACTCCGACCCGCTTCTACGACCGAAAGGCCTGGCCAAGGAGGGGGACGACGCTTGCTTCCAACTCCGACCCGCTTCTCCGATCGAAAGTATACCGAACCTCTGCTTATAGCTCTTCTCCGACCATCACAGTCGGAGCCGACTAGGAAACGACCGAACGGGGACGCCCGCTTGATAAGAACCCAAAGAATCAGGCGGAGCAAGTAAGGCAGGGCGCTCAAGTCAAACCGTAATACCAAGGACTGTACCCTACACACCTGCAGGACAATATTGTTAGGTCATGTCAGAAGGGTACTTTATAACCTTCCAGACATGGCAGAACACGAACGGTGTTGTGGGCCGACATTTGTCCTATGGTATGGTAGGCGCCGACATTTGCCATACCAGAAGAACACGATGAAACCAACCACATGCATATGACCATCAACAGTATTGTGGGCCGCCGACAAACCGTCTTGTACCCGATGGCGTGGGCAATAAGACTAGGTAGCACACACGCTCTCTTTCTCTCACACTCTCTTTCTCTCACTTGTAAGGCCATCCCCTTCACCTATAAAAGGGGATGCGCTCTCTCCTAAAAGAGGAGGATCAACTTTCCAACGAACAAACAACAGACGGATCATTTCGGCTCACTCTCTACTAGCTTTAGACATTCTAAAGCTACACATAGCACACGTTCGAATACATAGCGCACGTAGAAGCTCCTGTCACTCTTGATCCTTTGGTCCAGAGTCCGACCGGACCTTTAACACCTCCCATCTTACTCCCACTCGTTTGTAACCCCACAGCAAACTTCGAGCACCTGGGCTCAGGAATAAAGTCACCGACCGACTTGAACTGGACGTAGGGCACATTGCCTGAACCAGTATAAACCATGTGTCATTGAGTGCTAGGCCACATCCGATCACAACGTATGGCAAAATGATAAATATTTACTTGTTGGTCACTTTTCGCACCGACAACACCGATGAATAAAGGCCAACGGGCATGGCCGTATTCTATACTACTTTACTTTGCTTTTGTTGGAGGTGTTTGATAAACCGACAATGTATTTGGACTTATGACAATAATGTAGTTTCAAAACTATGTTGCTTTCTTGTATCATATTTGAACTCGGTATTGTAATAAGTATTGTGAACTCAGTCTGTATCTTAAACTTCCGCCGTGAACTCTATGTATTACGAAGCATATTGTTTCCCTTAATCATGTACGATCTTGGTTATGAAGTTGATTTATTGAGGCCCTTCGTGGTACTCAACGGACTACCGGGTTTATATAAGTGACGGTATGCGCGTGTCAACGTGTTTAACGGGGACAATCATACTTAATCTTGTATAAATTGGACGGTTCTGTCACAACCGGGGGAGGTGCATCCGCCCTGCACATTACTGTCGAGGGAGGTGCATCCACCCCGCATGTCGCCGCCGTAGGTGGTGGATTCGCCCCACGTGCCACCGTTGAAAGGATCTAAATGACTAGAGGGGTGAATAGTCTATAAAAATTTTCGTATAAACTTCACAAATACTAGTGCAAAGGGATTAGTAAAATAAGAAATCCTAATAGCGTCTACTTACACTAGCTCTACTTTTACCCAGGCAAGTCTTCTAGCTTTGTCTTCAAATTCTAATCATAAGCATCACACAAAAGATTACAACTAACAAGAACTACTAGACCTTAAAAAAACAAGTAACTAAACTAGTTACACTACAACAACTACTACAAGCAATTGCCACGTAAGCAAGATATGAATGACAGTGTGAGTAGTAGGCAAACCAACGCAGGGCCAGAGATGGCACAAGATATAGCCCTGAGGTTGGGTTGCTTGGCGGCAACCTATGTCCTTGTTGTGATGAGTTCTTATTTGCCGACAAATTCACTTTAAAAAATTCATATGAGAATGATGAATTTTTTAAAAGTAAGTTTGCATCTTAACTTTTGTAGTGAGTACATATTTACATATAATTATGGATGTGTTAAATTTTAGATTTTTTAACAACCGAAATACTTTCTCCGTTCCAAATTATAAGTTGCTTTGATCTTTTTGGTACATCTATTTTGCTATGTACTTCCTCGATTTTAAATTATAAGTCGTTTTAATATTATATTTAGATATATAGTAAAATAAATATAAAAAAATAAAACAATTTATAATTTAAAACAGAAGGAATATCTAATTCGGAACCGAGGGAGTACATTATCTAAATTAGTTTCTATGTTTTCTCGTAGCAGATGGTTTACGCTACATATTTTTACATATTTTGCCCTGTAACAGTCCCATCCGCTCCAGCCTAGCAAAACGCCACCACTTCCAGGCCCACACTCCCGTAGAACATGCCGCCGCCTCAGCCGCTGCTCGGCGGCGCCGCGCCCGCTCCGGCGCGAGCGGCCCCATCCTTGCTCCACCTCCTTCTCGACACGCGCCACCGCGTCGCCACCGCACGTGCCGCTGCCGTCTCCTCCGTGCCCGCATCTCACTCCTCGCACGCGAACGACGCCCTCCTCCTCCGCCGTGCCGCCGACGTGGCCGACCGCTCCGCGGGACTCACCTCCCCGCACCCCAACTTCGGGTGCGTCATCGCGCGGCCCCAGCTCAATATCGACAGCGCCGATTCCTGGGTGGTCGGCGAGGGGTTTCTCTACGCGCAGGGGACGCCCTGCGCCGAGCTCCTCGCCGCACAGGTGGCCGGTGAGCACGCGCGTGGCGGCACGGCATACCTCAACCTCGAGCCTGGGGACTGTTTTGGGGACAACACAGCCGTCGGATCCCTCGTCCAGGTGCTCTACGGAATTGCCTTTCCTATATTCGCTCCCATATGTTTCTCCGAGTTTGATATTTAAAATGCACTTCAGACTCCCTCAGTTTTCAGATGTCATGAAACCAATTGGGCTAATCTTGTAACACCTGGGTCAGGGTCCTATACATAGTGAGACTTTCGGGGGTTTAAACCATTTTGTTAATCATTAACCATCAGGAGATGAATGGACAATCAACGATGTATGCTCTTGTCCCAGCACCTAATCAACAATCTGTCTTGTGGACTATCTCTGTCACCAAACATGGTTGTGAGGTTTTATTTGGTCCTTGTGCATTTGTCCATATGAACCCTGTTGCAATGCACTTAATCTAACACACTGGCATTAACTTGACGAGTTGTCCTCAATGTATATAAGCAGTTTGCTAATAATTTTAGTAGGCAGGAATTACAAGAGTTGTGGTGGGTCTTAGACATCCCTTGAAGCACTTGAGAGGGAAGGCAATTCAGGCGTTACGAAGCGAAGGCATTCAAGTTGATGTTGTGGGGGAGGATCTGCAGAGTAAACTGTTTGAGGTGACTCTTTGCTTATACTTTTTTTAATGTTTGATTTCTATTAGTGTACATTGTTGATACCCTTTTACATCTTTGCAACTGTGCATTTTTTTAATCATGCCTGTCACCTGACTTCCTGAACTCAGAGTTATGATCTTGTAAATTTGGCACTAGCGGAATGACATGAAAAAATGAAGTCTGTAGGTTTACTTTGACACGAGAACAAAATAATGAAAACATCTATTGATTTTTTCATATTTTAGTTTAGAAGTTCAAGTTCAATGAAGACATGATCATTGGATTTATTTGCTCTAGGTATTGAGTAATTTGGATGTGACATATATCATTAATATAACAAGGAAAAAAAACAACATGACCATTTTACATGCTGAACTAAGAGTATAACTATTGGCAACTATCATAGTTTTTTTTTAAGAACACCAGTTTTTTCTTGTGTGGTTTGTGTGGTACACTAATAAGTAGGTCGGAAGAATATATGCACTATTTGCCTGTTTGCTTCCTACCCTCCCAAGCAGATGGATTCCCAGGCGACTGAAATCGGACGCCTGGGGATGCACGGCGAGCCAGGCAATCTTGCCTGGGCTTGAAACAAACACGCCATATGTCCTTGAATTTTACCAGTTTGTTAACTTTTTAAGTTGTTGACTGTAGGAAGCTCTGAAGTCATGCCTCACTGTAAATGCTCCATTGCTTTACAGAGCTGCTTTTCATGTCCCTTTCTCCGTCCTGAAGTATGCTATGACTGCAGATGGTGAGATATATGTTATTCCGTTTGTTAATATTAGTTGGGGGTAATTATTAATATACACACATGATTTATAACCTTCAAAGGATTTTGACTTTCAATAATTTGCAGGAAAAATAGCAGCAAGTAGTGGACATGCTTCTTGGGTAAGTGGCAAAGCATCGAGAGGGCGTGTATTTGAATTGCGTGGCAGAAGTGACGCTGTTATTGTTGGTGGAAATACAGTGCGTTTTGACGGTGCGACAACATAATGCAATATTCTATTAACTGTAGCTAATGGTGTTTGTTCAAAACTAATATCTTTTGGTTGTATTATAGATCCTCGATTAACTGCAAGGCATGTTAAGGGGCATGTCCCAGTGCGTATAGTGATGTCACAGTCTCTTAACCTTCCAGAGGAAGCAAATTTATGGAATGTTAACGATGCCTATACAATTGTTGCAACTCAGAGAGGTGCTCGGCGAGATTTTCAAAAGAAGCTTGCTATGAAGGGTGTTGAAGTAGTAGAGTTTGACATGCTGAATCCAAGAAATGTTATGTCATATTGTTATGATCGTGGTTATCTTGCTGTATTATGGGAATGTGGTGGGACACTAGCTGCTTCTGCTATATCTGCGAGTGTTATCCATAAGGTGAACCTTTTTTGCAAGATCGTCTATGACATCTTGTGTGTTCATTTGCTGCATTTAAGTTAGCTGTATCCTGGTTTTAATTTTATTTATAGTTCATAAGTAGCAACTTAGTGGAATGAACATAATACTAGACAAGCAATATATGTTTGGATGGATAGAATATATAGCTTCCTTTTCATTTACATCTCATGGCATCTACATTTTTTACTCGAACACGTAGGAGAACTGCGTATCATTATATTAAGAAGAGTAAAGGAGTGGGTTTAGAAATCCTATATAGCCACACACATACACACACCCTTTTACATCAAATGGTGTATCTCTCTCCCATTTGTCAAACTTGACCCAAGACCACTAGAGAGCAACTCATGCATTGGCTGGCTCTAGAGCAAGGAGATTGGATATTTCCCCGAGCTCTGGCCAAACTCCACAAGAGACTCATCTTTGACCGAAATCAGAATCCTATTTATCACATGTGAATGTCAGAGGAGTCATGAACATCATTCAGTTCACTTTTATTATTTATTGGTTGTCTTTTTTTTTTTTGAGATCCTCCATGTCATCATGTGCTTGTTATGTAGTAGAATTCTATATGAACTCATAACTTACAATCACTATTAGAGATGCGTAGAACACATGTATATCATGTTACTTGTACTCCAAGTTGTACTTGACTATATATATGAAAGGCAGCCCCCCTAATTGGTTGTGAGGTGTTCCCTAATTCTCTTGCATCATTTGACAGGTCTGTGCATTCTGGGCTCCGAAAATAATTGGGGGATCAAATGCACCAACACCAGTTGGTGAACTAGGGATGAATCAAATGACTCAGGCGATAAATTTAATTGATGTCTCGTACGAGCAGGTCAACCATTTTTCAACTTCAGATACACCCTATATGCATATCAACGAAACTAAAATAATTGATACATTGAACTCTTGCTAATAGGCATTTCATTTTGCTATGTTCCTTTGTATCTATGTTTTGTATCAGTGTCCCATGTTTTTCTTAATACAATTTAACAACCCTCATGTTCCTGTCCAGTTTAGTAACCTCTTCTACAGTTCTACTGCTGTTTCCTTCAAGTTATATATTGTGCAATGCTGTGGGCGTATTTATGCTTTTTTTCCCACTAGTTCATAACTGTTACATATTTTTTCTCCCTATAAATGTGCAGACCTTTTTGACTGAAAACTGTGGGGTATAAATGTGCAGATTGACAGGGACATGCTCATGAGTGGATTCATCGAACCCATTCCTGATCTTTCACCTATTATACCATCCGTGGAAGAAATACCTTCCGTTGATCCAGAAGTATCTCCATATGAAGCAAATATTATTTCCTTTTACAAGACATGGGATATTTTTGGGGCTTTCTCAAACTTTTCTCCTCATCCAATTCACATGCCTGATGAAAATGGAGATTATTTCACATGGCCAACAGTGGAACACTATTACCAGGTTTGTCTTCTGTTCATGGCTGCTACATTTGTGAAATTCAGCGTTGCTATGGATAGGGATTCTATCATAATGTGCCAACATGTGTTCCATTTTCTTTATAACCGTGTAACATCATTAATCAGACTGTCTATAAGCTCATAACTCTTTTTCTTTCAGGCTCATAAGTTTGTTGGTGTTGACAATCCTCAAGCAAGAGACATTGTTCAAGAAATAAAGCTAGCAAAGAGTCCTGAAGAGGCTGCTAGAATAGGAAGGACCCGACAAAAAGGGTTCCCTGAACTGGTATGCCTGATTATTGTATTTCGGCCTGTTCAATGGCGGTTTAGTACAGGTTTGGGCAGTTTCCTAAACCAAACCGTATGCTTATGGGTTAGATGGGCTGGTTTGCCGGTGTATGCGGTTTGAAACGGAGAGAGGAGGCTGTCCCTGGCGCTAGCGAGGTGCTCCCTGTCCCTAGCACCAGCAAATCCCTGTGCAACCATGTAGATAGCTGGCCACTGGGGATGACGATGACCCCACGGCCACTCATGTGTCCAAGAACCCGCCGACCACACGGAGATCCTTGCCGTGCTGCCCTACATCACGCGTGCCTCACCGCCGTCGCGTGGAGCCTCAGCAAGTGCTGTGGCCTGGTCCCCGGACGCTGTCGCATGGTGGCCTAGTCCCCAGATGCCGCACACCAGGTCATGAGGACCCACGACCTTGCTTTCGCATCGCGGCCTGTCGTGCTGATGCTGCAGTTCCAGGGCGCGGACAGGGTCTGCGCCCTCGATCTCTTCAGCACCCGCTGCGTCCACTCCTGCTCCATGCACGATGACGAGCTCGTCCGCCGCCTCCGTGCTGTCACGGCCGCAGGGGCGCCAGTGAACCTGAATCCGCTGTCGGGGAGGTGGCCAGCAGCAGGCCCAGCGAGACAAGGGGCGCTGCCACGGCATCGGTTGTCGATGATGGATCTGCTAACTGTTTGGCTGGTTCAAACCATGGTTTTGCTCAACCCGTACGGAAGCCACGGACCCCGTTTCAACGGGCTAGTTTCACGTGTTGCACGGGTTCGCACCAAACCGTGAACAGCCATAATTGTATTTCTATTTTAACTGATTGTAGTGGGAAGTGATGAAGGGACCTTGCTTACTGGTACCTAACAAAATATGTCATCACCCTTCTGATGAAAGATATTCTAGAAGAGGAACCTATGTATCTAGTATCATTTTCGGCACTCCACTTATCATTTAGTATTTGCAAGAATTTTCAAGTCCTATAGCATAAATACATGCTTGAAAGCTACAATGCATCCGACAAGTCCATTATAGTTCCACAAAAATTTACTTATAATATTAATTAATGACTATAGAAGGGCGGGCCTGGTGCAAGCGGTAGAGTCTTACCGCCTGTGACCGGAAGGTCCCCTGTTCGAGTCGCGGTCTCCTCGCATTGCACAGGCGAGGGTAAGGCTTGCCACTGACGCTCTTCCTCAGACCCCGCACAGAGTGAGAGCTCTCTGCACTGGGTACGTCCCCTTTTTATTAATTAATGACTGTAGCATACTTTCTATTTTCCTCCCTCTCCTCTGGTTAACTCAGACACAGCAACAACTGAACTGCAACCACTTGGTAGCATAAGTGCAAAATCATAAGCCTGGGACTTCCCTGTTACATACTTTCCACTGTTCAAAGTTCATGGTACTATGGATTGCCTGTTGCCAAACATCTCCGTGCTTTCTATTTACCTCTTTAAAATGACTGGTGGTGTAGGGTCTTTAACTCAATATATGGCTACAATTACCTCTTTAAAATGATATGACCCATCAATTAATGGTAATTAGTACACTATATCAATAACAACTATATCTACTCCATATGTTTTTAAACGCAGTGGCAGGAGTTCTACCTTTCAATTAAGACAGAGAAAGAGAGTTTATATACAAGGAGGAAGACACTCCATAAAGGGTATCAAAGACCCCTGTTGCAGGAAAATACCATGAAAACACTATCCTCGCGGTTAGAAAAAAGAGAGATGGCTAAGCGTAAGCGAAAGCCATCTTCCTTTGCTCTATGTCCTCCTTGATTCTTGCGGCCACTTGTGGCACCGTCTCTGCGGTATTGTTGAAAATTCTTCTGTTTCTCTCTTTTCCAAATATTCCAAAATGTGTAGATCACTACCCCATTGAGCCGTCTGCATTCAGTGGTTGGCACTTTTTTTTGCCGCTTCTTCCCACCATGCTCTGATCTCGACGGGGTCCCCTGAGGCTGTGACTGCAGCACAATGAAGTTCTCCCAAGAGAGGATTTGGTCTGAGACCGGCTTTGCAAATGGGCAGCACAAACAAAGGTGTAGGCTAGTTTCTAAGGGCCCGTTGCAAAGCACGCAGTGATCTTGATGTGGTCATCCTCTTTTTTATAGATTTTGTGCCGTGAGAATTTTATCTTACACTAGAATCCAGACGAAGATCTTGCATTTGTTCTCTACCTGTGCATTCCAAATGATGCCCCCAGCGGCCACAGCTGATGCACCGCACAGGGTCCCTGCAATCTGCCGCGGCATGGCCAGGGGAGAGACATCTGAAGCATTTACCTCTCATGCGTCTGAGGAGTTCTTCGCTGTAGTGGGAGAGCGTCGATGTGACCTCGGTGGTTGAGGGCCTTGAAGAAGGTGGATCTTTATGCTCTGGGAGTCGCCACCAATATCTTGGGCGCACCTTGGACCAACCGGCTTCCTCTGTCTCAGACAGGAAGGCAGCTGGCGCGCTTGAATGCGCCCAAGCTGCATGCTGGCGCGCCCCGGCGTCAACCTTGTGCGACCCGCCTCGGGAAGGAACCACGTCTTCAATTCGGGGTGTAGTGGCCAAGCGGAGGAGAAGTGAATGCCCCGCGGCCGGTGCTCCGGCAGCAGGCGTCCTTGCTGCGACTTTGATGCAGGGTCTTGCGGAAGATTTGCCGTTGGGGGAGTAACTCTTCACAGGAGAGACGTCGATGGGAGAGGCGAAACTCACGTGCTTCCGTGGATTGATGCCCGCCTGGTCTGCCGCGCAGGGCTCAGAGGCCTCATCAAGGAGGACTTGCAGCCCCATGACGATGGATTTGAGGATGGGTTGGCGGGGAGGCGAAGCACAGGTCTCCAGGCTTCCGTTGTGCTGGGCGGGTTCGATCTGCGGCTGTGGAGCTCCGTTGACTGGGAAACTTGGGTGCGGGGGATGGCCGTAGGGCGGGGAACGAGCGGCGGCGGTTGGCGAATGGGGGAGCGATCTACGGCGGCGGATCTGTGCTCGCCCGCCGTGGGGGCGGCGTGAGGAGACAGGGTCGGGGCTGGAGCGCCTAATGGTTGGGAAGCCATAACTCCAGTAGCTGCTACTCACTTCAGGTATCTACTCCATATGCATACCTTATTTATTCTCATTCTCACTTGGTTTTCGAATTGTTTTTGTTTTTCAGGTAAGAACAGATTGGGAGACTACAAAAATAGATGTGATGTATAGAGCTATCAAATGCAAGTTTTCAACTTATCCCCATCTGACTAATATGTTGCTGTCAACTGCTGGCTCTGTTCTCGTCGAGGCATCGCCTCACGATTTATTTTGGGGCGGTGGTCGGGAGGGAGAAGGCCTGAATTACTTGGGTAGATTGTTGATGCAGTTGAGATCAGAGATTCTGGGGACAATTCTAGCAAGCGCTGAAGTAAGGGTGATTGGTCTGCAGGCGAGCAAATCTATTTAGCAGAAGTGTTGATTGCAAGATCAGACATTAAGGCTGTGTTTAGTTCACGAAATGAAAATTTTTGATGTTACATCGGATGTGATAGTTTGGGGTGAAAATTTTATTAAGTCTAATTAATCTATCAAACCAGGCCTAAAATCATGGACTAATTAGTCTGGCTGATTTTCAACCAAATTGTGTCCTCAGAAGATTCGATGTGATAGTTTGGGGTAAAATTTTGGGAACTAAACCAGGCCTAAAGTCTGGCTGGGTCCTGATTGCAACAGTGGATGCTGCTCGTTTAAGGGAGCACAAATGAGATTGGTTAAATTATCTATATGCCTGAAGAACGTACCATGGGCCCTGCTGTGTTGTTGAACAATTTCATCGAGCCATCGGGGTATAGGAAACACAAAGGAGAAACACCAACATTTCATGCATAAAATGTGGTAGATGAATGTGTTTGATAAGGTGATAAGAACTAATAGATTGGACCAGCAGTAGATGAAGTGTTTGTTCGGTAATACTTGTTTAGTAAAAAGGAGGGTGAATTATTTAATAAGAGTGTTGAATAAATGAACAATGATTTAGTTGTTTTCTTCCCTCCCCCTTGTATCATTTTATCCTTTGCCAAGACCGTTGCACCTCATCGTACCATTGATTTCCCATCATGTGCATCCGTTCCCGTTAGTCATTTTAGTAAACTTTATCATAGTTCAGTCCCAGTACTGCCTGAGAGCTCTGTGGATCGTCCAAGAATTGGTTCTTGTCCACGCAAAGTTGTATTCTAGTCCCTAGCATTTAATAATGAAAACTATTTCACTTTGAAGTGCGAAGTGCGAAACGGAAGGGATACGGTATGGTATTGAAGGTAACCAAGTTCATATGTTCATTATTTTCATGGTAACCATTATGATGTTACTATGCACAAATTCTACCCACCAATTATATTAGGTTGTGAAATATGTTTATGCCTCTAGCAATGCCCGAGCATTTAGCCAGTGAAACTTTAAATTAAAAATCTAAGTAATACAGGGGAGAAACTAAACATATACCTAAGAATTGAGGTTAAATTATGCTAGCAAAACAGTTTTTCACTAGAGGAACAATCCAAACCATACCGAAGAACAATTAATTTTCCCTACTGGAATAATAAAAACATACCAGCAAACAATGCATTTTTCATACCAAACAATAAACATATACCACAGCTTAATGAATTCCTTGAATGAAAAATACAAAATATATCATGAAATAATGGATTTTCCCTACTGCACATCAAAATATACCATAGAATAGCAAATTTCACTGACGGAATAATCCAAAAATACACAACAGTACAAGAATAACAAAAAATTACTCCATTCCAAATTGTAAGTCATTCTGGCGTTTATAAATATATAGCTTTTGCTACACATTAAGATATACATTATGTTTAGATAGATACATAGACACATAGTAATAATTATGTATTAAAAAATTAGAATGGTTTACAATTTACAAAGGAGGAAGTAGTAGGGACTTATGAATTTTCACCTAGTAGCATGTCTCCCAACCTGTCTCTGTGTGTGTTGGGGGGGGGGGGCAAGGTCATGTTTATTGTATCATCATTTTTTAGAGGGCTCTCCCTCTATAATAACCGTTCGATCTAGACGTTGTGCTATATGAGCCCTCCATCATCTGTAATCTTACATGTAAGATGTAAGACTCCTCCTAGATCTCGAAAAAGGAAAATAATAAAAATCTGAACACAAGTGATTTTGTTTGTTACGACAAAAGATTTCGTTTAATAGAAAAAAGGAAAAATAGAAAACTAACATGTGAGGATGATGCCGACCTCTTCCAACGGTGCTTAAGATCCATGAACAACAGACGGACCTTCCCTGGATTATGTTTTTCACCGTGTTTCAAAACTTTATCCGTCACTCTAGATTCATGTGTGGCTTCACTCCCTCGAGCACAAAAGTTCTAGCCAGTACATGATAAATTAGAGAAAGAGTCTTGATTTGGTTAAAATTTGCATGTGTTGTTTGGAGACAACCATGTAATATAGTTCGATTCCAAGATGTATTATAATATGTGACACAATTGTTAAATAGATTTCTGAACCCTAAGTCATCTAGATGACCGCATAAGAAGTGACCGCATAAGAAGTCCCATTGCAACACACGAGCACGTTTGCTAGTAAATAAAAAGGCGCATATATTTTATTAGAAACTGTGTGTTGTTTATGTTGTAAGAGTCATTGCCCCTCTAGATACACAGTTCTCATGCTTGTTCGGAAAAAAAAAATCCAGCGTACATCAACGAACAATGGATTTTGTTGTTTCGAGCTATTTAGACCCGTAATATCCAGTTGGTCAGATTTTTTTATAAAAAAATAGTGCTAACTTACTTAGGAAATCTCCTTTGTCATGAACAGATCACATGTGTCATCACTGAACTTAAAAAAGAACACTGAATGGAACTTACAAGTGAACCATTATTTTTATTCTGCATGTGGCATACGGTATTTATTAATAAAACTAATGCTCACATGTTATTACTGCAAAACAAATTATGGCTAACAGCTACTAATACCTCATCAGTCATCACTATCAAACCAAATACCTACAATCTTTGTCCTTTCATTCAGTGCAGCAGTTCTTTGCCAAACAACCCAACAATGGCTCGTCCAGGGCATTCTTGCTTCACCAGGGATTCCCCCACCAAAACCTATAGCAACACGCGCACTTCAATTAGCTTCAGTTCAAAGAACAGAGGACCCGTAAACTGAGAAAACATCATGAACAGGGCATGTCATCCTTCAGTAAATGTACTGTATTATCTATCTCTCTTATAAAGCTAAACCTCAATACAAGTTTTATCTCAACATGCAAGACATCCACATCATTTTCCACTATCTATTCACATCACCTCCCACTAATAGCCATGTCATCCCACTAATTTTCAATCTCTTAATGCAAGCTGTTCACACCATCTCCATTAAGCACAATTTAATTTCAACGTACAAGAAATATAGAGGCATTCATATATTGCTATTTGTTGTCATCCCACTAATTTTCAATCTCTTAATGCAAGCTATTCACACCATCTCCACCAAGCACAACTTAATTTCAACATATAAGAAATATAGAGGCATTCATATATTGCTATTTGTTTTGCCATTCCATCACCTTGCCTTATCTAATTTTGGTAAGAATGGATGTAAGAATATATAGGTTTAATTCATACATGCAAGAATTTTTTTCTAAGAAAGTTCCGCAGCAACGCGCGAGGTATCCTTTTAGTTATTTATATAGTTAAGCATTTGTGGCCTGATCGAATTCAAGCAGGTTGTGTGTATTCCAATAGTCTACATTGGGAGACAAAAACTGAAGTGAATTAAAGATAAACCGACAAATGTGTAATCAGTACAGAAAGAGAAAATAAGGCGAAACAATATAAAGTAATAAGTGGTTCAGAAGATGTTGCCAAAAAGGTTTCTAAAATCATGTCGGACAGAATCTAAATTGACAAGGAACCAGGGGGAACTTACAGCAGAAACACCAGCATTCTGCACATAAGCAACATCATCTGGAGTAAACAGACCTGATTCACCAACAACCTGAAAAGTATAAAGGGAAAAGATAAACAATTAGGACGATTCTTTACTGCGACAGCATCTAGGGTTCCTCGAATAATGTGATATCTCACACCGGGTAAATCCTTAACCCTTCCTCCTCTTACTAATACTACAGAATGTTCTTGTAAATTATGGATTATGACACCTAATAGTCCTACTCCAGAAACAAAGGAATTAATAGCAAGCTAGAAAAATGCCCTAGCAATATGCAATACATACACTACAACTGCAATGTCGAATATAAGTTGACATATCTGCTTAAAATAAATTGTCAGTTTCAGTTTCAGTTTCATAATCTCTTTCCTGTTTCCCTTTGGCTGTAAAGAAACTTATTTTCACATATGTTCATACAGTATTTGGAGTAATATGTTCAACAAATTGGAAAACAGGCCATTCCAGTGCCTTTTCACCTTTCTGAATAAGCTTTCCAATAAACTCCCTCCTGCAAAATAAGATAACGTGTAGAACTCAAAGACATTCAGTATGCTTCAAACGCTACAAAGGCCAAAACCAGGATTCATTCAATGCATGCACGTAGCTCCTAAGACATACAGGTTAAAACTGGATATTTATCATGGCTTCCGATTTGGAGAAAATTTCTTATTTGGCCCTGATTGAAACTTGCCTTTCTTTCTTGGCCCTGAAACAAATTTTCTTATCTATTTGGCCTCACTTGAACTTTTGATTTCTAATCTGGCCTTACCGTCACCTCCGTCCAAGTTGATCAAGATTGACTTGTCAGGTTTTTGTTAAACTGACAAAAATGTCCCTTGGATATTACAGGGCCCAAGGAGTCAGGCATGTCTCTCCTTCGTGTCATCTCCTCCATCTATCCCGTCTCCCTCCCACTCTCCCTTCCCAACCCTAGCGGCGGCGGCTTGGCGCTGCGGCGGGGCGGCAGGCTGAGCGGCGCAGCCAGGGCACAAGGCGGTGTGGCACGACCTGGGGGCGGTGCGGCCTGGGCGCTAGTCGATGGCCTAAGCAGCGCATGCTGGGCACTAGGGGGCGCCAGCTCGTGCTGAATGGAGGCCAACGGCAATCGTGTGCGGGGACCTTTCTGGATTTCTTGAACACATCGCCAATGACAATCAACAAATGGAAAAGCAAAATAGGCAGGCGCGGCGACAGGTGTGATTTCCCGGGGGCCAAGGGCGGCACACGGCAGGTGGCGGCGCTGCGGCTTTGCTGTATGCGCTGGCGGCGGCGACGGCGAGAGCACCGAGGGGTTGGGCGGTGGCGGACGCCGAAGCCAGCAATGGCAGAGTTTGTGGGAGGCGCGACTTTGCGTGGGGCGCGTCTGGTGGTGCGTGTGGTGGAGTCCAGACCGAGCGGAGCTCGTGTTTTTTTTTGGCGATGGTTGTGGAAAGGAAAGCGTGTTGCTTTTTTTCCATGGCCCTGGAACCGCTGCTGGCATTGTGATGCAAACGCTACTATAAACAACTTTGAGCAGGCAAATTAGCATGGAACAATCAAGCACCAAACCCCACAAATGTTCTTTGGTTCCTCATAATATCTGAGGGGTAAGTTGGTCACTTCATGTACCACTTAACGCCATTAGAGGCCGCAGCTGACGGTAAGGCCAGATTAGAAATCAAAAGTTCAAGTGAGGCCAAATAGGTAAGAAAATTTGTTCCAGGACCAAGGAAGAAAAGCAAGTTTCAATCAGGGCCAAATAAGAAATTCTCTCCAATTTGTGTTTAGAGAATACCACACTTATTTGGCATTGAAATATGGAAGTTCCTATTTGTGTTCTATGTGTCTGAGCCCACAGAATGTACACACTAGGTTATTCTAATGAATCAAATATGGAACTAGAACCTGACAAGGTTATTTTAATGAATCAAATATACACCCAAAACAATGATATTACCAAAATTCCTTTCTCCATGATGCTATCACCATGCTTCTCAAGCAACATCTTGGTGTTTGAAGTATCAACAACAAATGTCTCTGCAGTGTAAATAATTTGTAGAAAATAAAATAATATAAGCATTAAGCATTCATCAGAAAAAAGGGGGGGGGGACCAGTGGAGAGGCTCCCACATGAGTGGGGTCTGTGGAAGGGATAAACCGAGACAAGCCTTTTTTCCGCAAAATCTGAGGAGAGGTTGCTTCGAACCCACGACCTGGTGACTCAGTGAGACAGCTCTCACCACTGCACCAGGCCTGCCCTTCATTCATCAGAAAAAAGGTTTAGAGAAAAAACAAGTGGGAAGCATTAGTACTTGGTGAAATAGAAAAGTTCAAACTTAAAGATGACAAGATGTCTTCTATAGAAAAAAGAAAAACAAGCACAAGAGGAATCCCATACCAAGGCTTCGGTTATTGATACCAATAAGCTTAACTCCATTTATCTTCAGAACACGCTCCATCTCTCTTTCATCATGAACCTAGAATATAAATCCCACAAGAATATCAAAATCAATCTTAGCTTATTGTGGACTATTTGAGTTTATCACACTTGTCTTTTATTCAGAAAAATATTATGAGACCAGCATATTGACAGGGTTCAAAAAGGCGCTAGGCGGTGACTCACCGCCTTATGAGACCAGCAAGAAATTGCAAGTTACTCCACACTATTTCCATATGAAGACACAAATGAAAAAATGCATAACATTTCTTTTGTCAAATTACTTGTTGAGTATTTGAATAAAACACACACAGAATGATCGTTCGAGAACAAGTCTCTAACATGATATAGAAGCATAAGCAAACTACTATGGTTCATTCTATCATGTGAAGTAAACTATGCGATTTTACTAAAAAGGAGAACGTCAAACTTTTTCATCATGCAAAGTAAATTACTATGGTTCATTCTGCCATCCAACACTGGAAAAGTCACCAGTTTCTAATTAATGGGTGGGTACAACAAAATGAAATGCATAACATGTCAAACCTCAATAAGAGCTGTCATTCCCAACTCTGCGCAAATCTTAAGAAAGTACGTTATGTCAACATCTGGTAGCACAGCAGCAATTAATAGAATTGCATCAGCACCCTTAGAGCGAGCATTATAGATTTGCCACTTATCAAGGACAAACTCTTTGCAGAGAAGGGGGCACTGCATTCACAAGAGATTTTTTTACATCTTCAGAACTATTGGTAACTCATAATCATTCTCAGAAAAAAAACACTTAAATGCATCAGTACCTTCACTCCTGAGGTGCGCACCTTCTCAAGATTCTCAAAGTTTCCCTGTACAATGGGAGCAAATTAAGGGAAACCAGGTAAGCATAACATCTATGATCCCCGCAGACACAATCAATTAAAATCAATTGAAACATACCTGAAAGTACTTCTCATCTGTCAAAATGCTCAAACATGCAGCACCATTCTTTTCATAAGCTTGAGCAATTTCAACATGCAATAGAAAATTACTTTTTAGTTACATAACCAACCACTGAAACTGACTCTAGGTTCCACAGCTAATGAGCCCAGAACATTACAGGATCAAAGTTCTCCCTGAGCACGCCCCTACTTGGGGATGCTTTCTTGACCCCAGCAATCAATGCAGGCACCCCATTACGCTTGGAGGCAGCTTCTAAAGCACCATAGAAGTCTCTTGAAGGAGGGGCCTTCTGTGCAGCCTGAATCACCTCCTCCAGAGGCTTCTTAGCATGCCCCTGCACAAGACCAGTACAATCTGTTAACCAACAACAACAACAACAAAGCCATTAAGTCCAAAACAAGTTGGGGTAGATTAAAGTTGAAACCCAACAGAAACAATCAAGGTTCAAGCACGTGAATAGCTCTTTTCCAAGCACTCCTATCTAAGGCTAAGTCTTTGGATATATTCCATCCTTTCAAGTCTCCTTTTATTGCCTCTGCCCAAGTTAACTTCGGTCTTCTTCTACCTCTCTTCACGTTACTATCCTGGCTTAGGATTCCACTACGCACCGGTGCCTCTGGAGGTCTCCGTTGGACATGTCCAAACCATCTCAACCGGTGTTGGATAAACTTTTCTTCAATTAGTGCTACCCCTAATCTATCACGTATATCATCGTTCCGAACTCGATCCTTTCTTGTATGACCGCAAATCCAACGCAACATACGCATTTCCGCGACACTTATCTGTTGAACATGTTGTCTTTTCGTAGGCCAACATTCTGCACCATACAACATAGTAGGTCTAATCGCCGTCGTATAAAACTTGCCTTTTAGTTTCTGTGGTACCCTTTTGTCACATAGGACACCAGATGCTTGACGCCACTTCATCCACCCTGCTTTGATTCTATGGTTAACATCTTGATCAATATCCCAGTCTCTCTGTAGTATTGATCCTAAATATCGAAAGGTATCCTTCCTAGGCACTACTTGACCTTCCAAACTAATATCTTCCTTCTCCAGAGTAGTAGTGCCGAAGTCACATCTCATATACTCAGTTTTAGTTCTACTGAGTCTAAAATCTTTGGACTCCAAAGTCTCCCGCCATAATTCCAGTTTCTGATTCACTCCTGTCTGTTAGTCGTTGAACTCCAAAGACTCCAAAGTCGATGAGAGGATGACACTAGGAGTTGGAGCAATTTTCTGGTTTATTTCTCACACAAACTCACACAAATGCCATGCCAACCTGAGGGTTTGGGGATACATATTTATAGGCTGCTAGCCAGCCAAGCATATGCCAAGATACTAGTCTAAGATGCTAAGATGTTGTCCTCTAGATGCTAGTCTAAGATGCTGTCCTAGATGCTAATCCTAGATGCTAAGATGTTGTCCTAACCAGTCAAGGATGCTGTCCTTGTGGCAGCACAGCAACAGCCAGCAGCCCCACAGTCCTTGTGGCAGCAGTACAGCAACAGCTAGCAGCCCCACAAAGGCCAGACCAGCCAACACAACACAAAGACTTATCCATCATTCTCCCCCTAAGTTTTGTGCGTCGTCTTGTGGGGAAGTTGAACCATCCCGGTCCTGGAGCAGAGCTCAAGGAACTTGATCCTCCCAAGGGGCTTGGTGAGCAGATCCGCAAGCTGGTCCTTGGTGTTGATGTAGCTCGCCTTGATGCTCCCTTCCTCAAAACGGCCTCGGATGAAGTGGTACCTCACCCGGATGTGCTTGCTGTGTTCGTGGAAGACGGGGTTCTTTGCCAGGGCCAGAGCGGACTTGCTGTCCACCCTGAGCTCCACCGCTCTAGTGTCTCTGCCGAGGAGATCACCAAGCAATCGAGCGAGCCAGAGCGCCTGAGTCGAAGCGGTGGAGGCCGCTATGTACTTGGCCTCGCAGCTGGACAGGGCCACCACCTGCTACTTGACCGATTGCCAGCTAACGAGGCACTTGCCGAGGAAGAAGAGGATCCCGTTCGTGCTATTGCTGGTGTCGATGTCGCCGGTGTGGTCACTTTGTCCGCATGCGACGGCGAATATGTATGCCGCCTGTGGCACCTAGGGTAGTAGAGGCCATGGTCGAGTCCCCGCAACGTAGCGGATGATCCTCTTCACAGCCTGCTGGTGCTCCGTTGTCGGTAGCTGCATGAATCGACTAACGTAGCCGACGGAGAATGCCAGGTCCGGCTGTGTGTGGGCGAGGTAGCGAAGGCTCCCCACAAGACGCCGGTACTGCGTAGCGTTCACCTCCTCTCCGCCGTCTTTGTCGCTAATTTCTTTGGGGTTGCGATCGGTGAGCCCAGCTTAGCTCAACGACGCGCGCTTGGCGAGGGCGGTCCGTCAAGCGTGATCTCGAGTCATCTGGTGCACCTCGATCCCCTGTGTAGAAGGAGAGAGGTCCTGTGTCACTCATCCGGAAGGTGGCCTTCATCTCTTCCTTGAATGCCGCCACCTCCGCATCCTTGGTGCCGGTGATCACCAAGTCGTCGACGAGACACCCACCCGCAGAGCATTTCCTCCACCGCCCGTCGGTAGATGGTCGCCTTGTGCGGGCTTTGCTCAAGCCCATCCCTTTAGCGTGGAATCGACTTGGCATTCCACGCCCTCGGTTCTGCCGCAAGCCATTAGAGGGCCTTTGCGCAGTGAGCACCTGCCCTCCTTCCCGGGGATCGCAAATCCGGTGGTGGTGCACGTGGACCTCCTCCTTCAAGTCGCCGTTAAGGAACGCCGACTTAACGTCCATGTGATGAACACGCCAACCCTCCTGGGCAGAGTCGCATGGACTCCATCCGTGCCACGGGAGCAAAGGCATCGTCGAAGTCGACCCCCTCCTGCTGCACGAAGCCTCGTGCCACCAAGCGAGCCTTGTGCTTGACGATGGCACCGACTTCATCCCTCTTCAGCTTGTACACCCACTTAAGGGTGATCGCGCGGTGACCACGAGGAAGGTCAGCAAGCTCCCAGGTGCGGTTCTTCTCAACCGCATCCATCTCCATTTGCATCGCGGCGCGCCATGCCGCGTGTCTCTCGGCCTCTGCAAACGACCGAGGTTCGCCGTCGTCACACGCAAGGTGCAATTGCGCCTCCAGGTCGTGAGGCACCGGTCCCGGCACCAGTTGGTCGCCGAGAAGGTTCTCCAACAGACGGTACCGCAAATGCTCGCCGCCGTGGTATCGCGTCGGTCGCACGCTCCTCGTCGTCGAGAGAGCGAGTAGCGAAGCTCAACCGGCCGTGCTCGACACGAGCTGGTGGTGGGGGTAGACGCGTGCCCGAGTGGTGCCTGTCGGTCTTTGGAGTGCGTGGCGTTGCGGGCCGTGGTGGGAGCGGCGAAGAACTCATCGCGGCCGAGGTCTGGCCGGAGAGCGTGGTACCGCCGGAGTAGCAGCGCGGGGTCGGTGGAGGCTCGGGGATCTGGGGTAGACGCTTCGCCAAGAAGAAGAGCGCCTACTCCCCAGCTCCCTCGAAGTGGGACGTATTTCGACGGTGAAGTCGTCGACGCCGGAGCCGAGCCGTCGCCCACCGCCTTGTCCCACGCCCATCCTCGCTTTTTCGTCGAACACAACGTCGCGCCATGCGCATACGCCGTGTCTTGGTCGAGGATGCGGTAGGCCTTCGAGCCCCGCGTAGCGATGAACACTCCCGAGTGCTCTCTGCCGCCGAGCTTGGCGATGTGGCCAAGCTCCTTGGCTTAACGCGAGGCGTACCAAGACCCGCAAGTGGGAGACCGCCGGCTTGCGCCCATGCCAAGCCTCGTGACGGCGCCCCGCATCGAAGCGCTTTGGTAGGCGAAGCGGTTGAGGATGTAGACGACCATCACCATCACCTCTCCCCAGAAGACAGTCGGCATCCCCCTCTGCTTGAGGAGGGCCCGAGCCATCCCCACAACCGTCTGGTTGCGCCGCTCGACGATGCCGTTCTGCTGCGCGGTCAGACGCGCGACGGAGTAGTGGCGCTGAATGCCCTCGTCGGCCGTGATGCGACGACGCGAATTGAACCCGCCGTGAATTCGCCGCCGTTGTCGGTACATAAGACGCGCGCACTTTTGCGGCCGCTCCGACTCCGTAGCAGCAACAAGGCTACCGATGGCGTCCGCAACCTCTCCCTTGCTGCCGAGGACCATCACCCACATGTAGCGGGAGAGGTCGTCGACGAGCAACAGGAAGTAGCGTCGTCCTCCCGGTGTCACCGGGCCACACAAGTCCCCGTGCACAAGTTCGAGCCTCTCCTTGGCTCGAAAGCTCGCCCGCTGGAGAAAGGGGAGTCGCCTCTGCTTCGTCAACACGCAGACGTCGCAGAGCTGCTCCACATGGTCGAGGCACGGCAGGCCTCGCACCATCTCTCCGGGCATCGAGCCGCTTCAGGGCCTCAAAGTGAAGGTGCCCGAACGCTCGGTTATCGCGCACGCCTCGTCGTCCCCGACGCAAGCGGCCGAGACAGAGGGGTTATGCCACCTGCACATTAAGGACGTAGAGTCGATTTGCGCTTCTGGATACCTTGGCAAGAAGGCGACGACGACGATCCCAAATCCTCATGACTCCATCCTCAACCACCATGCGCGAACCGTTCTCATCCAGCTATCCCAAGCTGATGATGGAGTTCCTCAACGCGGGGATGTAGTAGACTCCGGTGAGCAGCCTGTGCTCATCAGACACGGCGGTGAAGATGACGGAGCCGATGCCCTTGATCTCCACGCCGGAGGCATCCCCAAACTTGACGGAGCCTCGGACGCTAGAGTCAAGCTCGGTGAAGAACTCCCGTCGACCGGTCATGTGATGGGTGGCGCCGGTGTCGAGGCACCACCCGTCAGTCTTGTCGTTGCCGGAGCTGTCGCCGAGGAGGGCGTGTACTTTTGGCTCATCAAGGTGGAGGAGAGCCGCTGCGGCCGGTGCCGCTGGAGGTAGCTCGATGCTTGCATGTGCCATGAACAGAGCCGGCTCCTCCGCCTGTGCGACGTGGGCCTAGCCCCGTCGTGGCTGTCGGCAGTCCTTGGCCCAATGGCCAAGCTGGCCGCAGTTGCGGCAGGCGTCATCTTGTGCCGGCTTGTGCCTGCCGGCGGCGCCGCCCTGGGCGCCTCCGCGGGCATCACCCTCGGCACGTCCTCGAGCCCGGCACTGGCGTCTCTGCGCGCCTTGCGTGGCTTGCCACGCTTGCGACCGCCTATCGCGGAGGAAGGCTCCCCCTTCTTCCGGTCACCTTGGCTAGCAAGCCACTGCTCCCGAGTGAGAAGGAGCTTCCCGCCAGTGGTGATGGGCCCCGAGAGAGACTGTGGCTCATCGCTGTCGACGACCTTGAGGCGACCTATC